CTGAGGCAGCGTTTTATGGTAGTTTGACTTTTTTCTCAAACTTTGTATTTCATACTTTTTTTTATACAGGTAAACGCTGCCTGAGGCAACGTTTATATCTTTAAATGAAACGCTACCTCAGGCAGCGTTTATTGTACAATATAAAACGCATCCTGAGGCAGCGTTTTTATCTGTACAATAAACACTGCCTCAGGCAGCGTTTCTTGCGGGGAATTATAACGAATTTCAGTGGCTTTTTTTCTCAATCTCACAAACGCAACTTACACTCTCTCTCACTAACTCTCATTCTCATAAACAAAGAACCACTGCCCTTGCCAATGCCGCCCCTGCCACCGCTGCTGCCGCCCCTGCCGCCGCCAAAGTGAACAAAAGTTGTTGCCGGCATTGTCTCACTCACTCTTTAAATCCGGGCAAACCCTAAATTCGTAGTACAATGTTGAATTTTACATTGAATAGTTGGTAGTAGATAGTTGTTGTATGTTGTAGCAAATTGTGATGTAAATTGTATTAATTTGTTGCTAATTAGTAATGAAATGTGATAAATTGTTGATAATTATTGATGATAATGTGGTACATTGTTGAGGAAAAATATAGACGAAATTGTTGATTAAATACGAAATTCTTGATGAAATTGTCAATGATAATGTGGTTTGTTTTTGATGAAATTCTTGATGAAATTGTTGATGGTAATGTGGTCTATTATTGTGAAAATAATGATAAAATTGTTGATGGTAATGCGGTGTTAGTATGTTGATAGTTGTATGCGGTACTAAGAGTTAATGAAATTGGTGATGAAAATGTTAATAGTGAGAATGAACTTGTTTCATTGTTGTCATATTAGCTACACATGTAGGTTCTCGAAATTTGATATAACTTTCCATTATCAAAGCTATGTATGTTATGTATTGTTAAATTAGGGTTTCTTTACGTTGTTTTAGAATTCGATTATCCTTAAACGTGTTTTGGTTGGTATGTAGAATATGGCTTCACAAAATGTAGTGTTGTTATGCCGGTGGGGAGGTGAAATTATGTGCGATGGATCAAATGTTGAGTACAGTGGAGGGAATATGGAACTTATAACACTTGAACCGAACATGACTGTGAATGATCAGATGAATGAGGTTCACAGTAGTATCGGCTCAAACCCAATGAATGTTGAACTGAACCTTAAAATGAGGTGTGAGACTGGCCATGGGGTTCAAGTGTTACCTGTCTCTAAAACAAACATTTAAAAGCTTTGAGAAGCATTGTTGCAATGAATGGTGTTCCCAATGAGATATATGTAGAAATAGTGCCTATATGTACCCAACAAAGTACTTGGGCAAAACAACATCCTACATATGTCTCCGATTACAACACCGCGTCCTTCCAAGGCCCTTCAAACCACATTCCATCGAATGAATATGGGATGGGAACTTTCAGTCGCTTGCTGCATGACGATCAATTTCAGATGTCGTTTAGTACTCATATAGGTTCACCGGTTCATGCGGGGGGGGGGGGGGTGTGGGACAATGTTCGGCCAATCCGGTCTTTCGACATCAAACACCGTGGCTCCGTCACCAATGCGAGATGAGGTTCAAGAATCACCGTCTCAAGAAGACCCAAGTCATTTTGATAATATTGTGAATAACAAATTGTCGGTGTACGATGTGTATGCGGATACATATGATGAGGACGATAATGGGGAGGAGGATGATGGGCTTGATGACATGGATCTTGAAGATGGGCAGATGGAAATTGATGAGCCCTTGGTTAGAACTGCAGTACCCTGGTTTAGTCAGATAAATGAGAATTATGAAGTTGATGAGTGTTGGGCCAATTCAGGGAGTCATACATAATTTGTTCCAGGGGGAGAATTCAAGAAGGGGATGTACTTTGACAGTAAGAAAACGCTTCAAGAAATGGTGAAGATGTATTCTATACAGAGAAATCAATTCTACACCACAGTGACCTCAAATGAGAGTGTCCTTCATCTGCGTTGCAAGAAGAAATGTGGATGGTCTCTAAGGGGTACCAGGACAAGTGAGCACTCGCGTGGCTTCACCATAGTCACATACAAAGGCCCGCACCGAGAGAACTGTGTTACCGAAGTACTATCTACTGATCACCCACACTTGGATTCGTCCATAATACCTGAATTTGTGAAGTCCTTTGTGCAGAAAGATCCGACTCTAAAAGTTGAATTCATACAGGAACTCATCTTCAAGCAATTCCATTTTGAAGTTCCGTATAAAAGAGCATGGTATGCCAAGGACAAAGCCATTCACTCAAATTTTTGGGGATTAGGAGAGTTCTTACAGCAGACTTCCTCAGTTCATACAAGCACTGCAACAGTCAAACCAGGGAACCGTAGTCATATGGAAAAACAAAACTCTAGTGGAGGGTAGGTATACCAGCAACATGGAAGTATTTGAACGAGTGTTTTGGGCATTTGGTCCTTGTATCGATGGTTTCAAACATTGTATGCCTGTTATCTGTATCGATGGGACGCACTTGTACGGGAAGTATAAAGGAACACTTTTGGTTGCTACAGGTGTGGATGGAAACTTCCAAGTATTTCCACTAGCATTTGCGTTGGTTGAGGGGGAAAACATTTCCAGCTGGTCTTGGTTTATGAGCTGCCTTCGGGATAGAGTTACGCAACGAGATGGCTTATGTGTTATATCTGATCGACATGCAGGGATCATTGCAGCAATGAATGATCCTAACATTGGATTCACTCAACCCCGAGCCTATCACAGGTTTTGTGTTCGTCACTTGGCTTCAAACTTGAAATCTCACGTGCGAAGAAACATCACGAGAGATACGTTCAAGGCTGCTGCGTACCAAAGACAAGAAAGAAAACTGCAAGCTGATTTGTTTTCAATTGGTCAGGCATGTACAAAATCGTTACAGTATATTGCCCAAGTGTCGTTTCCTATGTGGTCTTTGTTTCACGACGCTGGTCGCAAACATGGGATATGTACAACAAACTTCTCTGAGACATTTAACAATGTTTTGAAAGGTGCTCGGTTCATGCCAGTTATGTCCCTTGTTGAGTTAACTTTCCACAGAGTTAACAGGTACTTCACCTTAAGAAGATAATCTGCTGAGTCCAGGGCCAAACAGGGACTTGCATATCCCCCAAAGGTCACTGCTATTTTGGAGAAGAACACAGCAAAAGCAAGATACCACAAGGTGGATGCCTATAACCGTCGCTTGCACATTTACCAAGTGACAACACATAGGGGGGAGCGAGTTGGTAGAAAGGGAGGCCATAGACACACTGTTAACTTCCAGTTGAGAACCTGTACATGCAACAAACCCCTGATATTCCACCTTCCATGCTCTCATGTTCTAGCAGTGTGTGAGACTTATTCACTGTCAGAGAGGCCGTGGGTGGACCCTTTCCTGCAATCGGATGCGTATATGAACACGTATGCACCACAGTTCTGGCCTATTCCATGTGAGACCACTTGGACGTAGTACACAGGACCTAGACTGATCCCGGACGGTGGCATGGTAAGAGGAAAAGGTCGGCCAAAGTCAAAGCGCATACGGAATGAAATGGATGACACTAACCGACCTAGGACTAAATGCAGCCGCTGTCACCAACAAGGTCACAACCGCAAAACGTGTCAAGCTAGATCAACCAAAACATAAGCTTGTATTTGTTTTTAGCTATAGTAGTAGAACAGTAGATTCATGTAGTAGGTGATTGTTGACGTTATGTAACATTTGTAACGCTTGGATCATGTCTAAGTTATATTTTAGATTTGGTGACCTATTTTTCGACTTTGCCTTTTACCTGTGACAGTCATGTCAATTTCATTGGATAGTAATTCTGTTTTTTAATTGGTTTGGCCATATTGTTTTGAATGAACAGATATCATGGCCGGACACGATCGGATACCAGGACTACTTGACCTTTTTGTCCTTACACTGCAGGATAGACATCGGAGTGTTGACATATGAGAGCAGACGATAATTTCTCACGTGCCATTTCGTGTACAGATTTGTCTTGTTTTGATGTATACTTGACCCTTATTTACGGTTTTTAAATGAATTACCAGGTGGACATAGCGGAAATGTTGGGGTGCAGGCACTTGAGGTCCGGCTGGGTAGTCCATCCACGCGTTCTTCAGTACGTCGACTGGGTTGGCTTCGGTGGTATTCATCGCGTGGGCTACAGAGAAATAGATCGAGGGCTTATCACTACATTAGTTGAGAGATGGACACAGGAGACACACTCCTTCCATCTTCCTGTGGGGGAGGCGACAGTCACGTTGCGGGACGTCGCGATACTCACACGCCTTCCCATACATGGGAATGCGGTGACAGGGGGTGTGGTGGTTGACCCCGCAGGTTTAGTAGGTCGAGTTTTAGGGGTTCAGCCAGAGCCAAACGAGATCAGGGGAAGCGCGCTGAGGACCGGTTGGCTACGCGACACTTTTGGACATTTACCTCAGGACGCTGACGACGCCACAGTGCAGAGATACGCCCGAGCTTACTTGTTCCTGCTCATCTCGGGCGTGCTCTTTGGAAACAAGAGCGGAAGCCATCTTCAGATTATTTACCTGCAGCTGTTAGACCACGACTGGGATGAGATCCGTGGATATAGTTGGGGTAGTGCTTGTTTGGCGGTCTTGTATCGCCATCTGTGTAGAGCATCACAGCGTGGAGCACAGCTGATCGGAGGTCCTTTGGTTGTGCTACAGGTAAACCTCATCATTATCCTTAAGCCTAGTTTGATAATGACTTGACGTTATTTATGCTTCACCTTTATATTTTTATTTTTTAAACAGTTATGGGCTTGGGAGCACATCCACGTAGGGAGACCAGGTAGGCCTGTTGTACACCGTCCGGGGCAGCTGGACCAGGACGATCAGTACGCAGCGTACGATGCTCCCCCGCTCCCTGAACCCGATCAGGCATACGGTTGTAGGTTCGTAACATTACACTTGTGTTGCCGCATTTTGTTTTAATTAGCTAGTACAACTTCTTAAATAATTTGTTGCCACAGGTGGGTGGTTCCCAGGCTGACACATACGCATACAGCAAGAGGTCTACTCTACTATCGTGACGCCCTCGACCGATTCACGGATGAACAGGTGGAATCTTGCAATAAATTTGTAATCTTTTGTTTACTCTTTATACTGTTTATTGGCATTGCCCTAACCTATTTACGATATTTCCTTATTGCAGATGACATGGGATCCCTATTCTGCTGTGTTGGTAGAGGCCATGCCGGAACACTTGCTCGAGCATCGTGCTGAGTGGCTTGTCAGGACCCCCATGATTTGTTTCGAGGTCGTGGAGAGTCACCTACCGGACCGAGTGTTGCGATAGTTCGGACTTCACCAGCCTATCCCCAGGGCCTATGACACTAGTATCCGCCTCCACGACATTGATTGTCGTGGAAAGTTGGAGACAAACTGGGCACAGGAGCATCATCAATTCATTGAGCTTTGGGACCAGCGGTTGGAGTCCATCGTTGACGGTCACCTGTTTCAGGGTGTTATGGATCCGCGTGATCCTTACATGGTATGGTACAGGCAGATTACATGCCTTTTCATCAACCCTACCTACACGCCACCGTCCACGCACTACCATCCAGCTTATGATGTTATCAGCGGACTTGTGAGTTTATTTCATTTTCTTGTTTTCCAAAATTATTTGAAATTCTATATCATATTACTAAGTCATGGATGATTACAGCAGGCGGGGGATATGGGTGCGATGGTTGATGCACTTTCAGATGCCTTAGCAGCCGTACCCACCAGAGCCCAGGTCGAGCGGGTGCGAGATATGGGCATTCATAGCTTGCAGAGATATGGCCATGGCCATCTCGTCCACCCCAGGGACGATCATGACCCCAACTCCTTCCATTCACAGTTCGACTTCGGACAGAGCAGTGGCGCAGGTGATTACCATTTACAGTTGGACTTCGGACAGAGCAGTGGTGGAGGTCATACTTCGGGCTCTACACAGGCAGAGGATTACTTCATCCATAACACTGCTCCCGGCCACACCCAGGATGACTCATCATCTCGCCAGCTGACTCATCCACCGTCCCTAGACCCATTCACCACCATTCAGCATTACACGAGGCGTCCGAGGCGTGTTCGTAGACGGACGAAGGACACACAAGATGGAGATCAGTTAACTCCAATACATGAGTCCGGATAGTATTAGTTAGTTGATCTTTTTGTGGTACTGAGATATTTAACAATGTTGTATATAACGCTTACATTATTAATACAAGAAATGTTTTTTAAATGACTCTCTGTACAATTTGAAGTTTATTTCCCTTATTTGTCCGAATTTGACTTTTATCAGTAAAACTATATCTTTTTTCGCCGTGGAAATGTTGGGGCTGGTGGTGGGAATGCTCTAGCATTGTTTAGGGTGTTTTGCATTGCATTGGGGTGGTCTAGAGTGGCGGCCGGTGGTGGTGGGGGAGGTGGTTCATGGTGGTGGGGGTGGTGGGAATGCTCTAGCATTGTTTAGGGGTGTGTTGCATTGCATAGGGGTGGTCGAGAGTGGCGGCCGGTGGTGGGGGGTGGGGGAGGTGGTTGATGGTGGTGGGGGTGGTGGTTGATGGTGGGGATGAGGCTGATGCTGCTGGGTGAGAGTGATGTGTAGGGGCAGCAGCAGCTGGACAGGAACAACAGCAGATTGCGGAAACAGGAGTTGGCTGCTGGTGATGCAGTTTAGCAGAAAAACGCTGCCCCAGGCAGCGTTTTATGCTTTCACATAAAACGCTGTCTCAGGCAGCGTTTTACTTAAAGCATAAAACGCTGCCTGAGGTAGCGTTTTACAGCCCACATACATAAAATACGGTATTTTTTCCATAATATATACCAACAAGTCAAACTACCATAAAACGCTGCCTCAGACAGCGTTTTATGTCTTGAACTTTTTTTAAAAAAAAACTGGGTGTAAAACGCTGTCCGAGACAGCGTTTCACCCTAGAAGCTTAGTTTGGGAAATACTTTTGCCACGAGACCAGTTTGGTTAATACTTTGCCAATAAAGCTCACTTTGGGAAAAAAATCCAGTATATATCAGGCAACAAAGGAACATGTCGACAACAAAGGGAACATATCAACCAACAAATGAAGCATATAAGCCAACAAAAGGATGAAATCAGCAAAGAAGCAACATGTAAGCAAACAAAATTAACATATTAGCTAACAAAGTGAAACATATATAAGCCAACAAAAGGAACATATTAAACGTTAAAAAAACATATTAGCCAACAAAAGGAATATATCAGCCAACACAAAAAACATACCAGCCAACAAATGAAACATATCAGCCAACAAATGAACCATATCAGCCAAGCTTGCCGGACGTAATTATGCGTATGGTAGTCCGCACACAAACCTTCTCAAAGAATAATATATAAAAAAATTAATTATCTTTATTTAATATACTAAATCAACACTAATTTATTAATTAAAGTTATTTAAATAGTACAAAAAAAGAAAAGGGATTTAATTAAGTGCTCTGTAAACTAAATGTTCTCCTTTTTGGCTAAATCTCTATCTTGCCTTTTATGGACTTCCTCTTTCACCTTAACTTCTAACAACTTCAAATGATTTAATTAAGGGTTAAAAAGTGTTGGGGAAAAGTAGTACTGAATGAGAGTATTATGAAAGTATAAGAGAATAGGTGATTAAGGTTTCAATATTTCAGGGTTGATTTGCTGATTTTTCCCGTGTACTGAGGTTTAATTGAGACCCCTATTTATAGGTGTAGAAATCTAGGGATCGGGTTGAAGAGTTGTCGCTTAATGGGGAACGTGCAACAAATAATGTTTTGGTTAGGTGCCGCGCACAACTCCAGGAATCGTGCGCACCAATCCGCGCAATATTCAGTAGTGTTGCGCATGCCTGATTTGCCTTATTAAAAATGCGGTTTGTAAAACTTGCACAACTTTTGATTCCGTGCTCAATATGAGGCAAATAAGATAACGTTGGAAAGATCTAGATGTCTATTTTCCAAATCAATTATAATTAGGTCAAACCCTTTTGTGTATTTTAAGATATGGCCAGTTTAGTAAAAGGGTATCGATTTTAGGCTCGGTTTAGTGTTTCAGTCACTTTTTTTTTTTTTTTTTTTTTTTTTTGTGTTATTAGGAATTGGGCTATCCACCGATATAGGCCTTGCACAAATACTATGAGGTTTGGTTAACTTGCATTGACTTCATTTTGTGATTTTGTGTTGAAAAAAAATATAGTCATGTGGGGGTCTTGTTAAATTCGTCTCAACATCAATTTTTAAATATCAAATTTTTATAATTTTTGCTAATAAATAATTAAGGATATTTGCATTTGAAAGTATGCATTGGTAAACGTGCTAAAATAAAATGTGTTATCTAATATGAAACAAAGGAAGTAATTAGGGATAAGTCGTGCGAGTAGATTGTGGCGAGCGGGTAAATGTGAGGCTAGGTAGTGGGTAGGCAAATACTCACCCTACCCCAAAATAATTGGGACACTTGACTTTGTGGTTTTTTTTTTTCTCTCAATTTTGAACATCTTTTTTTTGCTATTACATAAAATAAATTAACATTTTATTAAAAACTTGATATTCCAATAATTTATTAAGATAATTCGAACAATAATAATTTTTTTAATGGCAAGGAGAAATACCCTGACTGTATCTCAACTCTCACGGTTTTTTAAGTTCGGTATTTACGGGTCAGACACTTTGAGAGTGAGGGGGGATGGGTAAGGGATCTCCACTCTCAAAGTGGCTCAAGTGGGGAATTGAACTCTTAACCTCAAGGTTGGAATGTGCAATATATCCTACTAGATCAAGCTTAGCTTCATAATCCAATAACAACTTATTATGTTAATTCATATATTACTTTCTCCATTTTACAAATATTGCAATAATTGCCATTTTAGAAAGTTTCACAAAGCAGTATTTCTTATTTGCACATATTTTCTTTCCTTCTCTGTCATCATCACATGGTCCATAACTTTATTCCCCTTTATCTCTATCCTCTTTTTAAAATCTGTGTCCCTCATCCATGTTGTAATATTAAGGAAACTCAAAAATCAGTAAAAAAAAAAAAATAAAAAAGTCAAAGGTGATAAAAAAATTCAAATGTCCCAGTTATTTTAGGAAGGAGAGGGTAATAGTATGTCTTTAAATCCATCACCTACCTACTACTCATGACGGGTATAATTTTATACACATATCCGCTCCAACTTGGGCGGAAGCAGGGCAAAACCCCCTATTTTTATATCCGCCTACCATCTCTACTCAGGCCGTGACGATTGAGGAAGTTCTCGTAAGGGCAATTCGGTACCATAAATTTAGCTAACACATTATCTATTGAGCCAGTGCATTAGCATTTAGACTTTCAAATTTACAGGGGTTCTACCAAACAAAATTCTCCCCGGTAGTTAAACAAGAACATGCCTACCTTAAATTTGTTTACAAATGTCCCAGTTGATGCTGTTGTCGCCTCAGATATTCTCAAGGATGCCACCAAAGCTGTTGCTAAAACAATTGGCAAACCCGAATCTGTAAATTTTCTCTCTCCCTCTTCTTTATTTCCCTGTTTTTAATTGTCGAGGGGTTAGTAGTTCAAATTACACTATCGATATGACTATTTATTCCGGACAGAGCGAGTATTTAGTTTATCTGTTGTCATTGAATTATACTTCGTATCATTTTATTTATTGTGATTGAAGTATGTGATGGTGTTGATAAACGGAGGAGTTCCAATTGCTTTTTCGGGGACGGAAGAAGCTGCTGCATATGGAGAATTGATCTCAATTGGAGGACTTGGTCCTGCTGTTAATGGAAAATTAAGTTCAATTATTGCTGAAATACTCCAAACCAAGCTTTCTATTGACAGTTCCAGATTCTACATTAAATTTTACGAAGCTCAGGTAACAATTTACATGTATTTTTGATACACCTTTAATGCTATGCATACCTGTGAACATTTTTGATATTAATTATGTGTCGGAACTAGTAATATGACAACTAAATTGATTGATTGAATGGGATGTTATGGGTGTTCTTTGCTTTAGGATATTGTTTGGGTGTTATTTGTTTGATTTTGTATTTGTGTTATTAAGGTATAATTTGTGTTATAATGTCATTTGTTTGATTATGTTATTTGAGGTAGATAATGAATGGAATTTTGAGTTATTAATAAGAAGAATGTGTTGTCACCATATAATAGTATTGAATGAAATCAAGATTGACTCATCTGATGCACCCATTTGGCCATGTAAGTGTTAGTGGACCATCTCAACCAAAAGATTAAGCTGATGGTTGAAGGCCAGGATTATGTTTTATACTCTATCATGCCCCTCACACGAGAACCCGTTGGGCTTGAAATGTGGATGCAGCATAGGTCTTTCTCATACCCAGCGCTTAATATTCCACTTAAAGGTGGGGGATGGATGAGATTCGAACCCGTGACCTCTATGTCACGTTGGCTCTAATACCATGTTAGTGGACAATCTCAACCAAAAGCTTAAGCTGATGGTGAGGCCCATGATTTTGTTTTATACTCTATCAGTAAGTTGGTATTTTATGTTACTCGGGCTTATCATTGTACCTCAAGTACCCTGTGTCGGATCCTTATACTCAAACATGGTATGCGCATTTAGACTTTTCACAAAAGACTACAAAATATATAAATTTTGGTAAATTTACAGCAGTGTTTGAAACCAATACCCAAGATCAATAACAATTAACATAGTTGATCACACTGAAGGATGCTGCAAGGTAATGTCATCCAAGTTAAGATGTACCAATAGGCAGTGTTTGTGGAAGGTCCAAATACAATTAGCCATAAGCTTACTTGAAATATTCCTGAAATCCAATTAGAAAAGCAATGCTTTGAAATGGAAATCTAGTAATGAATCAAATTAGATCAGTTCAGTAGTAGTACTAACAGAAATTAATACTATTACTACTATCTATTTATTTATTTAATTTTGTGTTATTATTGATTTAGTATATAAATTGAAAGTGGATAATTTATATGAAGTATAAGAGCAGCTATGAGAGGGGGAAATGGACAAATTAATATGGTGTAGTTAGTAGGAAATGCTGTAAAATAGAATGTTTACTGATACAAGAAGAGTAACTGCGCCAAAGTACAGAGGTTATTTCCCTGTGAAAAGATATATCCCTTAATATTCTTCACCCTTTATTTTGGAGACAAGTATCAAGTTTGGTGGTTATATATGAATTAAAGTTCTCCACCATTCCTAGGACAAACAGAAGCAGAAACTATGAATAACATTTGGGGTGTGGATGAAGTAATAGTCAATCAGTTTAAGTTCTAATACTTGTTATTTTTCAGTAAACAGAAACCACTAAAGTTTTAAGCTTCTTTCGCTACCCTTTTCTCAATTAAAATAATAGTTTGCAATTCAAGCATGTATTGGATGAATTTATAGTAAGATTAGTAACTACTGTCAAATATGGAGTACACCATTTAGGTTACCATAATGATAAACTGTGTATATTATCCAATTTAACTTCTGCTTCTGTTTCCGTCGCCATGGCATTTTAAACCTGACAAGATACAAGGACAGGTTATTCATATCAACAAAATGATAAAATTGAATCCAATTCGATACTTCCCCTTTGAGTTGATAACTTTATTGATCTTAATGTCTCATACCTTCCGGACTGCTTCCAAAGCCATCTTTGTCCACTGTTTATTTGACAATGCTAGATTCACAAAATTCCATATATTTTTGGTATAATTAATATGGTGATAAAATATTTGTTCTGTTTCCTTCTGCCTAGAATTTTTTCACCTCCTGCTCGGTTGTTTGATGGCTGCTTTGATTTTTGTATGAGTTTGTTTGCGCTCAGTGTATGAGTCTATGACTAAATTAATCTCGTGGAAGGGCAGATCAGATAGACAGGAATGGGTTTGACTCTGGGGGTCCAACATCACCATTACACTGTCGTGATTGTTTGTTGCATAATGCATATGTTGCTGACTTAGGGTACTCGCATTTTGGTGCAGCGACCTTTTTTTGGATTCAATGGTTCCACATTTTGAGCTGCTCGTAATTGGCTGATTCATTCTGGCAATGTTTAGTGGGAAGATAAGCAGCATTTGCATCTGAATTGTGAAGTCACACTAAATAGAATGTAATGATTACATTCTGTGCTGTTTCAATTATTAATGTAAGTGACATAGCCAAATCTCTCAGGAATAATAACTACTCCTCCATCCAGATTTGATTGCCATGTAATCGTTAGTTCAAACTACACTATCAACGCAATTATCAAAGCTGGGACAGAGAAATTGGACCCAAAGTCGCCCTCATCTTCAGGTTTCATGGAAAGTTCTTTGGTCCTTTTCATATGTTAGTATGATTTTAGCAGAGCTTTGTAGAAAAATGTAAAGGCTAACGTAAGGCGTCTTAAGCTCAGAGCAGAAGTACATAAACTGTCTGGTTGATTAAGCTGTGTTCAACTTGAGATAAATTAATTTAGAAGGCAAAAAAGGCATAAATTATATTGTTGTTGATTAGGGGATTTTTCCCCACCAATCACCATCTGACAAGTGGACCCATCAGGTTCCGCCATGTGTCCGTCACATGGGCCAATAGGAGCCTGCCACGTGTCAAGCAACGATCCGTCCACTATGGACCAATTACGACACGACACGTGTCCTTCTCATGACACCTGGGATAACCGGCCACCTAGGCCCAACTTCCGAGGGAAGCCCAATCAGCCCAAGGTTAACCTAAACCTAGATTGGCACGTTTCCCGAGGTTATAAATACCTCCCTTAATCCTCATTAAGGGAGGGGACATGCTAAAAAACGCAGATTACACACATTAAACACTCTCACCTAGAGAGACCCAATCACTTTAATTTCCGCATTAATTACTCCTTAATCAAGTACTAACTTGACCGTCGGAGGAGGATCTCCAATCATCCGGAGCATCCGTTTGTTTTGCAGGTACAGGCGTCCGGTTCCAGTCTCGGAATTGTAACACTCCCGCAGGACATCAGAAAACCCCGAAACATCTTGGCGCCGTCTGTGGGGAGAGTACTTCTGAGATGGCATCCACGTTTGTACCGACTCCTGAAGAGAGACGTCCCCTGGACGACCCTCTAGTTCTGTCGGACCACGATACTGAGAATGAATTTGAAGTAGAAGCTCACACAGCTTCAGACGGGACCCTAAGGGCCCGACGTACCCGTCATACCGAAAGGAGGGAACGGGAACATCTTCATATAGGAAGCGAGCCAGCAGGCGCACCGCCTGTTCGGCAACAGCCGACTGATGGGTCTGCTCCCATCACAAGGAGTGAACTCATGACCTTCATGAGGGACTTCAAGGGAGAAATTCAAGAGTTGATCAACAAGAAGCCGCCTGCTCTGGACAAGGAGCAGTCGGCTAAGAAACCCTCCACTTCACAGAAGAGGAAGCCAGTTCAAGGGCGAGAGGTGACTCCTCATCCTAAATCTAGGAAGCGGGAGCCACCTGCCCTTGATTTCACAAAATACCGTTTTCCTACTCCAGGAAATAGGAAACCTGTTCGTCATATTCAGGCGGACGGGTCGAGGAAAACATACACAGACGCTCGGCTACTGCTAGAGCAGAAGAAGAGTGATCGATTGTCAGAGTCGACCTCTACTTCAAACCTCCAAGACAGTCTGCGAAATACCTCGATGAGGCATACTCAGTCGTATCATGAGAGTCAGTCAGGCGGCACCTCCCGTCAGTCCGGCTATCATAGCGACCAGGCGGTACCAAACTTACCGTTTGTACCGCAACAACAATATTTTTTACAGCCACCTCCGTTTGGTGGACATGCAGCAAAACACGTCCAACCTATGGACTGGCAGCTACGGTTGCTTAGACTTGGCGAACAGCCGTCGGCCTTCTCCAAGGAAATTACTGAAGCCGCTCAGCCGGCCAAAGTGAAAAATGTATTAGTAGGCGCCTATGACGGCACTACTAACCCAGAAGACCATCTGATGGCATTCACCAACCTGATGTACCTCCAAGGGTTGGATGATCCCACTTGGTGCAAGTGTTTCCCAGCGACTCTCAAAGGAATCGCACAACAATGGTTCGGCAACCTGCCGACTGGTTGTGTAAATAGCTTCAAGACGCTTGCTTACTTATTCACCTCCAACTTCGCCATGAACATCCCTGCGAAGAAGACGACCCTTGATTTAGGAACAATTCAGCAGGGCGAGAAGGGGGGGCTTCGTTCTTACATCAGGCGGTTTAACCTGATGAGAATACAGATTCAAGGGTTACCGGATGAAGTAGCCTATACTGACTTTTTCAGAGGTCTCAAAGACGGGTCGACCTTCAAATTTGATTTGGTCCGAAAGAGGGTGGCGACTCTTCAAGAGGCCTTGATTGAAGCGGAAGCCTATATACAGGCGACTGATCATTGTAGTACGGTAAAACAGTCGGACGGGAGAAGGTCCGACAAAAGAGAAGGACGACAGAAACAGTCGTCAAACAAAGACGAGAAGAGAAAAGAGGTCTGGGCGGCTGATTCCTCCAAACAGCCGGCCCAGAAAAAGAAAAAAGAATTCAAACTATACTCCCCAAAGTATGCGTTTAACAAGGATAGCCAATTTATCCTAAAGGAAATCAAGGGACGGATCTCAATTGAGAAGCCGGTCCCCATGAAGGGTTCTGCAAACAACCGGAACCAAGAAAAATTCTGTGATTATCATGAAGATGTTGGTCATCACACCAATGAATGCATCACTCTCATGCGGTATTTGGACAGCCTGGCTGAGCAAGGTGATCTTGACACTTATGTCAAGAAATCTACGGGGAACACTTCCTCAAAAAAGCAGTCGACCAAAAAGAATCAACAGGCCGACAGCTCCGATACAGATGATGCAGTCGTCTACACCATTGCAGGCGGCTTCTTAGGAGGCGGCCCCACTATTAGGGGCAACAAAGACAATATCAGACGGTTAGATGTAAATTCCGTTCACCAAGAACGACCCTCCAAATATTCATTTTCTGAGATTGTCATCACTGAAGATCTAGGAGGGGTAAGAGGGCCGCATGACGACCCTATCGTTATTGAATGTAAAGTGGCCAACCAGAGAGTTGGCCGAATCCTCATAGATACCGGAAGCTCCTCAGATCTCATCAGTAGCAAATGTCTGTCGAAACTAAAATATCAGACTGATTGCATACATCCGGCATCCCACCCTTTAGTAGGGTTTGGAGGAGGAGTCGTCCACCCAGTGGGACGAGTGGATTTACCCATCCGCCTGGGCGAAAAAGGGGAAGGACGACACATGGTAGTCCAGTTCCTGGTAGTAGAAGAACTCTCGGCCTACAACATGATTCTGGGACGACCAACCCTGAATAATTCCAAGGCTGTTATAATCCCATCTCTTATGTTGCTCAAGTTTGAGAGGGATAATGGAACAGTCGGGTCCCTAAGGGGAGATCAGAGGATGGCCCGAGAGTGCTATCTCTCCGATGTCAAGCCCACTGTTATGGCCACTGGGTCGAGTGGTGGAAAAATAGATCTTGACAATGTCAAGGAGAGTGCGCCTGTTCAAAAAGAAGGCGGCAAGAAGAGAAAGGCATCCCAGACAGGGGCCGCAAGAAAAGACAGAAAATAGCAATCATTGGCAGAGGAGCGGTCGAATGAATTCCGCCCTCAGCCGGCTGGTGAGCATACGGACCTTATCTTAGACGAATCGCGTCCTGACCGAACAGTCAAAGTTGGGACGACTGCTCTGAGAGTCCTGGGTGATGACTTTCACAAACTATTGAAAGAATACAAGGACATCTTTGCATTCGAAGTCCATGAAATGCCAGGCATTAGTCCTGATCTGGCGGTACATAAACTGGTCGTGGATCCGAAAAAGAAGCCGGTACGGCAGAAGAAGCGGAACCATGGCGAAGAAAGAAATCAGGCGGCAGCCGCCGAAGTTAAAAAATTACTTGATGCAGGGTTCATTCGGCAATGTTACTTCCCAGACTGGGTTGCAAATGTAGTGCTTGTTAAAAAGCCGAATGGCACCTGGCGAATGTGTGTAGACTACACAGACTTAAACAAGGCGTGCCCCAAAGAGAGTTACCCTCTGCCTAAAATTGATAACCTAGTCGACTCAACAGCCGGCCATGCTTTGATGAGCTTTATGGACGCCTACTCTGGTTTCCATCAAATTCCTTTATGGAAGAGAGATCAGGAGAAGACGGCCTTCGTCACTGATCAGGGGTTATACTGTTACACGGTCATGCCGTTTGGTCTTAAGAATGCCCCGGCCACTTTCCAGCGAATGATAAACACTGTGTTCTTTGATCAAATTGGGAGAAATGTCGAGGCATATATTGATGATATGATCGTCAAGTCTAAACTTCAGAAAGATCATCTGTCGGACCTCCGAGAAACTTTCGCCACACTTAGGCGGCACCATGTCATGCTCAATCCCAAGAAATGTGTCTTTGGAGTTGAGTCTGGGAAATTTCTCGGATTCCTTATCAATCAGAGAGGAATAGAGGCGAACCCTGAGAAGGTGCAGGCGGTCATTGACATGCAGTCGCCTCGTACCATCCGAGAGGTTCAGAAGTTAACAGGTTGTCTGGCGGCCTTGGGAAGATTTCTAAGCCGATCAGGCGACAAATGCCTATACTTTTTCCAGGCAATTAAGAAAAAGGCAAGGTTTGAATGGGGGCCGGATGCTGAGGCGGCCTTCCAGAAATTGAAAGTTCACTTGCATTCCTTGCCGAGGCTGGTCAGCCCTTTGCCCAAAGAAGTACTCTACATGTACCTGGCCGTCTCTGATCATGCGTTAAGCGCTGTTCTCCTTGCTGAAAGAGACGGCTGTCAGCTCCCGGTCTACTTTGTCAGTCAAGTACTGAAAAATGCCGAGTTGAGGTATCCCTTAGTGGAGAAATTTGGTCTCGCACTCTTCATGGCTGTTAAAAACTTGAAGCCCTACTTTTTGGCACATGCAGTCGTCGTGTATACAGACCAACCTATCAAGTGGCCACTGACCATCATGGAGTCGTCAGGCCGAATGATCAAATGGGCCATAGAAATACAGAGCCTCGAAGTTACCTTCGAGCCTAGAAAAGCAGTGAAGGGGCAAGCCTTTGCTGACTTTATTGTTGAGATGACTCGTCCTCCTGACTCTCAAGTTACAGACCAAGTCTGGAAGGTATATGTGGCAGGAAGTTCTACTTTAAATGGTTGTGGAGCAGGCGTCATATGTCAGTCGCCAGAGGGCGACATGTACGAGTATGCTCTACGCTTCAGTTTTCAGGCCTCAAACAATGAGGCAGAATATGAAGCTTTACTAGC